CTTCACGGCTACGCCAGGTATAAAGGCGTATATCCGGCCTTACGTACTAATAGGCGGCAGTAGTATAGGTGTTTTCGTATATCTTATAGGGCCTCCTCGTTATAGGAGGAATAGCCTTTAAGGATATATCGCTACGAGGACGCTTTTTATTATCTTTATTATTAGTAGTATCCTTAGTATCGGGGAGGTTCCTAAGGGTATTAAAGGTGCCTCTCCTAACTCTAGACTTTATAGCGGTGGATTATAGGCCTTTTATATTACTAAGAACCGCCCTTAAAGCCTTTACGAAGTCGTTAATCGTTAGCTCGTTTTCCGTAATCTTATTATAGTTATTTACTAGGTAGTTAGTACTCTATTCCTAGGTAATAGGTCTAATAGCTTTTAACGCGTCTTCTGCTTAACGGTCCGCGATTAATAGCTCTAAAACGCCTATATATTTATAGTGTATTATCGCTATTTTCTAGTTTACCACCTAAGCGTTTATATCCTTAGGTATAGCCTTTATAAGTATAGTATATTATCGGTATAGGACTAAGGCTTCCTTACGGAGGTTTATAGGTATTAGTCCTGCGTGCGCGTATAGGAGAGTAATCTAGGCCCGCGGGTTATTTACTGTATTATCCTATAGCTAGGCGAGGAGATTATATAATATAGTATACACGGTCCTTTCGATATAGGAGCGTACCTTATTAAACTCCTTCTACTACGCGTTATAGTCTGTCGTTTCCTCGCGGTATATACGGCTATCTTATAGGTAGCGTGTACGCCCCTTTTTAAAGAGGTTATTAATAGACGTGGGCGTCCTGGTTAGTAGTTCTTTCGTTACGGCCGTAACCTTCCGGCGAGCAGCCGTCTTCCTTTTACCGGCGGCCGTGGCCGCTATAGTAGCGGCGGCGTCCGTGGTGTCTATAGCCTTATCGCCCTTTAGCGTGATAGTGGAAGATATAGTAGCTATAGCCGTGGCCTCCTCCGCGTTTAGGTCCACGATAAAGGCTTTGTATTTACGAATATTAGGCGGTATAAGCAGGGGGAGGAGATGGGCGTTAGCCTCTTTATCGCTTAGCTTTAGATTAAGGTAATTATCCTAGTAAGAGGCCGATTTACCGCGTATAGCGCGCTCCTAAACCGCCTAATCCCTTTAGTTGATAAGGGTAGTGGCGGCCGCTTTCTATTCGGTATTAAATACGTTAGAAGATATCTTTATTAGTTTATTATTTATCGGTTAGTTAATTAATAGGTAGGTTAATTAATCTTTTAATTACTTTAATTAGGTCGATAGTAGTTATTTAAGAGTACTTATATAGATATGATTATTTCTTTATAATAGAATAGGGGTAGCCTTATTAATATCTATCGTTTAGGCGTTATAAACCGGGCTTATAACTATCGCACGTTAAATAGGTATTTAAATAATTAACTTAGTAGAGCAGAAATCTCGTGTGTGTGTATTATATCCAGTTATATCTAGGAGAGTCTCTTATACCCTTAATTTAGATAGTAAAGACTCTGTTATAGGTACTATATTATTTAGATCCTATCCGGTCTTTTCCGGTATCCACCTTTATTATATCCTGATATCCGAAGTCCCTGATATCCGGAGCCCTTAGTTATAGAGTGGATCCCCCCTGGATCCCTTATAGACTATATCGTGGTCCTGCCTATACGACAGATACCGGAAAAGACCAGATAGGATCCAAATAATATAGTACCTATAACAGAGTCTTTACCACCTAAATTAAGGGCCTAAAAGACTTATATAGATATAACTTAATATAATACACACACACGAGATTTCTGCTCTATTAAGTTAATTATATAAATGCTATTTTAATGTATAACAGGTTAGTCTATCTTAATTCGCTACTTACCCTATATAGTATCTTGGTTATAACCACTTTTATATAATATTTTCAGTGTAACTGTATTTTTAATACTATAACCCCGCTATACTCCTATTATCCCCTCTTTTTAAAGTACTATACTCGGCAGAGATCCTCTTATTAACGTTTTATAATAAGAAGGCCGTTTTTTATATAGAAGTGTCTATTAAAAGCCTAAGAGAGTTAGTAACTTATTGAAAACCTTTAATAAGAAAAGGATATAAGAGCCGATAAGAATATATATAACTGATATAAGCGGATAAGAGATAATAAGACCTAATAAAATAAAAATAAAATGAAATAAAATAGAATACGATAAGATAAGATATAGTACTATAAGATAAGATATAGTACGATAAGATAAGATATAGTACGATAAGATACGACAGGATACGAAAGATATATCAGGGACCCGGCTTAATATTTACATATGTAGAAAAGATATATAGCGCGCTAAAATAGCGCCGTATTAGCGTCTTGGCTACGGATATCACTTGCATAAAACTTAGACAATCGTCAACAAGTTATTAAATTTGTCGAACGTGGCCATAAGTTATGTTTTATTGCTGAAAGCCACTGGATGTCTACCCGTTGTGTCGTGGCTTCACATAACCACCCACCCACAACCATCCTTCCTCTGGACATCGTATGTGCTGTCCAGGTCGGTTTTCCTGCCCGGGACGGGAAGACCAACGAGAATGAGGCCAGAACAACCGCGGACATGCTTCGGCGGGCTTAGCGTCTTGGCGCTCACCGAGGTCGGCTGATGGAAGTTGCAATGATAGGAAAGATATCGATGTTGTCTCGATTCTGTTATTACATCAGTTTATTATTAGGCATTCTTCCACGGAGAGTTTATGTGACTCCCGAATCGGAAATTTCGAAACACAAGGTACGGAGCAGAGGGTCCAAATGAGACATTTGAAGCATTTCAGGGCATGCTTCAATACAATCGCGGGAATGCGTCGGCTACGGGCACGTAATAACCACAGAACCTTGCTCACTATTATGTACATGTTTCTATCTTCATCACCACTTATAGACTCTTAAGACCTCGTCTGCAGTGTACGGATAGTAGCTCACGATCCCGCAATTGATCTGTCAACGGGACCTGCCTCCTTTTGTTGGGGTGCATGCCCATGTCGCATCTCTGATTATAGACTTCGTTATATGTCTTCGCCTCATTCCGTCATATTTCGCTCTTCGGGTACACGTGTACACTATTATGTGTACGTTCATCGACACAATATTTTCGCTGTCGCAACTCCGTGATATCGCGGCCCTAATTGGCCTGAACAGACGGAGTGCCTGGAGTAGCATGTAGGAGATCTCGAAAGGGTTTGCATTTTTCCACGAACAGGTCCTTGTTTGTCGTTGGCGCCGGCTGCCCTCTGTTGGATCTTTTTATTACTCTGATCTTCCATTAGGCCCGTCTGCTCAATCACGCCATCGGCTGACGGGAGTACTCGGATGATAGAGCTCGCGGGGCGGAGCCTTGGCAGCGTACGAAGTACTTGCGCGAGTGGAGTGTGGCACTGCCTCCTCAAGGCTCACTGGCAGGACCACTGCCGAGACCAGACTCTCCCGGGTAGGTTACATGGGTTGCGGGATATCGGAGACGGCGTCGGGGATTGTGCCGACTTCAGTGTTTCTTTAGCGCAGGAAGAAAAAATACAAAAAGAAATCCCCCACCCTATTCTCGAAGACGTGTTCCCGCATTCCTGGCTATCGTCGCCTTAATGTGCCTATCTTATCGGAGATATACCAAGATATCATACGTAAGGTAAACTGGACGGACCACAGTCGATTCAGCTCAGCCGAGCGGTTATTCCTGAGCCATATCCCCGCTTGCTGGATATTCAGTTTTCTGTATCGACCTTTTCCGGTACTTTAATATCTACGTAGACTTGTCTGTTGTTCAGCTATACGGAGTATATCCCTTTAGGCAGGGATGTGGATCGGTGAACTTTATGGATACTGGTCACCGAACTATCTCGATCAGTTTGGTGCCAACCAATCGTCAGCGAAGGGTTGGGAAGAGATTGGAGCCAGTATTGGGTGTAAAAGGTCCGACCAGGAATTCAATTGACATTTTGCACGGAGTAAGGAGGAGCGGCGGCGGAATCTGTGGCGTCCGGGGTGGGCCCGCGTCTGACACGACTTTGGCGCTGCCCAATACCCCCCCCACCGAGTTATCTCTAGGAGTATATACTTCGTACTTCGACCTGACAAAAAGAATGCTGGAATTGTCGTTAAAAGAACGACCAGTCGTGTGAGCGAATGGTGGCAGATCATTGTATTGCGGGTTGCGTTGTGCGACTGCTACCAAGGGTCAAGACCCGCCAAGGCGAGTGTGGTGTTCTTTTTCCGAGTCCGTTTCGTGGACAGTGAAAAAAAAAAATGAAAAAAAAAAGGCTTTCGTTTTTCGCGTGAAACAGCCCCCCACCCCCGGCCGCTTGGCACTTCTCCACTTTGCCGCAGGCACGGGACATTATGTGATATTATGTGGGAATAGTCGTGAGTGCCTTCCCTTTTGCAATAAGATCCGGTCGATTGTCCAATATCCTTCGTCTTTCTCGTGGGTAGACCACACCGCTTTCCGTGTCAGGTTGAAACTCCCTAGTACCTTGGGAATAAAACCCCTCGGGGCAGATACTTCACCCCTATTAGCACCCCCACAGTCGCTCAGATTTTATGCATTATTTATTCATGCAGATAATTAGGAATACTAAAATAATATGACGGCTCTGAAAGTCGTCTGGTTAAGTATCTATACTTCGTAATTTAATCTAGTAGGACGACGATGGATCGTATAAAGATGCTCGCCAGACGTCGTCGAGTCGAGGATCCGTAGGGCAAGCACAATCATGTTGCCTTACGGGACGTCATTGCTAAGACGTTATTCGTTCGCTAATGTTTGTATGGCGTAGCGCCCACGAAGTAGTAAGGGTAGGTAGGTAGGTTAGAAGTAATTAGGTCGAGTTTCTGAAGGGGTAAGGCACAATTTGCTGTCCAGGGGTTCACTAGTTCACCCCTAACAGCATACCTATCATGGAACCCCCCGGTCCTGCCCCCACACTTCAAATGCTACTTCGTACTCCGTACTCCGTACGCACTACCATGGCTTGGGATGAGGTACGACTCTATGTATATCCCCCTGACCGGCAACACTGGACTGGACCATGAAGTCATAACGCTGAACGGAAGAAAGAACACGGACACAGCAGCCACTAAGGACTCGACACCGGACTCCATAAAGATGTCTTAGCGGATCTGAACCCCACTTTTCAAAGTCGGCAAATCCACCCTTGGGGGTTCTTTCTGGCCCTTTGGCTGACTCTTCTTGTACTTAGGTAGTTTTTAGTAGCATCCACACCTTGAGTCCACATTCTGGCTCTCACCCTCGCTGTCAACTCTTCTCTCAATCAGTTCGGCTCACTCGTTACCAACATCGACAAATAGTGGACTCCGCTCGTCCTGACAGCCAAGAACCCAAAGCAACCGGGGCAACCAGTGAACCCTCACTCTTCCCAAGCTACCCCGGCGTGCCAATCCAGTCCACCCGACCTTCCACGAACCCCGACCTTGATCGTTCTTAACCTTCCCCATCCCCTCCCCGTCGTAAGTTCCTTTTTCCCTCTCCTTTTCCCCCTCTTCTCTTCAAGAATCACTGTTCTTCCCCCCTCCTTCTTTTTTTACTCCTCTCTTTTCTTTTCCCCTTCTTTTCTTTTCCCCTTATTCACTCCCAATCTCCCCTCTACCGCGTTCCCCAACTCGGCGAGCCTCAGCCGCTGCCACCATTTCCTCTAGGAATCTCGAACTCACTAGGTGATCGTCCTCCACATACATGGGCCTACCTGTCGAGGCTCATCTGGTTCGGAAGGGTTTGGGCAGAGATTGAGAGATCAATTGACGTCAGATGCTCCATGTCGCCTTGATCTGATACATATAATCCATCTCATCCTCCTGGAAGCTGCCTCATCAGGCCACATTATTGCTGGTCCTGTCATCACCATAGCAATATTTCGACTCGAATTCCTCATCGATAACTCGTCATCCGCAGTCACGAGCTCAGATTCGGAAGTTGCTTCGCAGTTTCCCACGGATTGCCGTCAATTGGGACGTCACAACCACAGATCCCTCATCACAACCTCAATTGGCAACCGATCGGACAGAGACTTGGATATATTCTCGACTAGGATCTAATTGTCTGTCAATCAACGCCGCCCACAATGGGGAACACCGAAGCCGAAGATGCCGTGGCCAACCACGTGTCTGGCCAGGCTAACAAGCCGCTTTCTCGCCCTGCCCACGGCCTGACTATCGAACAGACCGTTGAGGAGCTCAAGGCCAACACCGATGATGGCCTGACCACGGCCGACGCTAAGGCTCGCCTCGAGGACTACGGCCGCAATACCTTTGGCGAGGAGAAGGGTGTCCAACCGATGAAGATTCTCGTCGCCCAGGTTGCCAACGCCATGACTATGGTGCGTAGCTCTACCTCTTTTTTCTTCTTTTTTTCCTCTTTCCCCCCCATTTTTTGCGACGATCAATCTTCAAACCCCAAGCTAACCAATGTCTCTAGGTGCTTATTCTTGCCATGGCTGCATCGTTCGGTATTGAGGCCTGGATTGAGGGTGGTGTCGTAGCAGGCGTCATCCTCCTCAACATTGTTGTCGGCTTCCAGCAGGAGTTCAAGGCCGCCAGGACCATGGACTCACTCCGTTCCCTCTCATCGCCCACTGCCTCCGCCGTGCGTGATGGCTCTAACGTCACTGTCCCCACCGTCGAGATCGTCCCTGGCGACATGGTCGAGCTCAAGACTGGTGACACCATTCCCGCTGATGTCCGTCTGATCGAGGCCGTCAACTTTGAGACCAACGAAGCTCTGCTCACGGGCGAGTCCCTGCCCGTTCGCAAGGAACCTACCCGGACCTTCGAGGATGACACCGGCCCGGGTGACCGCTTGAACGTTGCCTACAGCTCGTCCACTGTCACCAAGGGGCGTGCTCGCGGCATTGTCTTCGCCACTGGCATGTTCACCGAGATTGGCCAGATCGCCGCCGCCCTACGCGGTAAGAAGTCGCGCCGCCGCCCCGTCAAGCGCAAGGAGGATGGATCCGCCTCGATTGGTCGCTATATTCAGGCTGGCATCCTGACCGTCTACGACGCTATGGGTGTCTTCCTCGGCGTCAAGGTCGGAACGCCTCTACAGAAGAAGCTGGCCCAGCTTGCCCTGCTTCTGTTCGGTATCGCCATTGTCTGCGCTATCATCGTCTTGGCTGCGAACGACTTCCGTACCCAACAGGAAGTCATTATCTACGCTGTCGCCACCGGTATCTCCATGATTCCGGCTTCCCTGGTCGTCGTCTTGACCATTACCATGGCTGCTGGTACTAAGCGCATGGTGGAGCGTAATGTCATCGTCCGTAACCTCAAGTCGCTCGAGGCTCTTGGTGGTGTCACAAGTGAGTTTTATATATATATATTCTAGTGTGCCCTCGGAAACTCTAGTCATCATGGTGAAAGATCAGTTTGGAACTAACATGGAATTCTCTCTTCAGACATTTGCTCCGATAAGACTGGCACTCTGACCCAGGGCAATATGATCGTCCGTAAGGCCTGGATTCCCGGTATTGGCACTTACTCGGTGAAGGACGCCACCGACCCTTTTAATCCCACGAACGGTTACCTTTCGACCCGCCCGGACCAGCCCAAGGACATCGCGTTTTTCGCCGAGGACGCTGAGGGCACCCCGATTGAGAACCCTGCGCCTCTGATTACCAGCAACACGGCAATGGAGACGTACTTTAACGTCGCCTCTCTCGCCAATCTTGCCACTGTCCATCAGAGCAAGGAGGGCGGGTGGCATGCCCGTGGCGACCCCACTGAGATTGCCATTCAGGTATTTGCCTCTCGCTTCAACTGGAATCGCCTGCGGCTCTCGGGTGAGGGCAAGCAGTGGGTGCAGGTCGCCGAGTTCCCCTTCGATTCCGACGTTAAGAAGATGTCCGTCATCTTCACCGACACCAACGCCAACAAGAACTGGCTATTTACCAAGGGCGCTGTCGAGCGCGTCATCTCGTCCTGCCCTACTATCCGGATCGGTGACGATGTGGTCGAGCTTACCAAGGACATCGAGGACGACATCCTCAAGAACATGGAGTCGCTTGCCCGTCTGGGTCTGCGAGTGCTGGCTTTTGCCACGCGGGAGGATGTCGGCGACGTCGATGGCCACGAGAACCTGGACCGTAACCTGTTCGAGAAGGATCTGACTTTCCGTGGTCTGATCGGACTGTACGACCCGCCTCGTGTCGAGTCTGCGCCCTCTGTTCGGATGTTCCACGAGGCCGGTGTCAACGTTCACATGTTGACCGGTGATCATCCCGAGACTGCCCGTGCCATTGCGCTTGAAGTCGGTATTCTGCCTCCTCGTATGAACGAGATTGCGGCCGATGTCGCCAAGACGATGGTGATGTCAGCCACCGACTTCGACAAGCTGACCGATGATGAGATTGATAAGCTGCCTCGGCTTCCCCTGGTCGTCGCTCGTTGCGCCCCCCAGACCAAGGTTCGTATGATTGAGGCTCTGCATCGTCGTGAGCGCTTCGTTGCCATGACGGGTGACGGTGTGAACGATTCTCCCTCGCTGAAGCGTGCCGATGTCGGCATTGCCATGGGTCAAGCCGGCTCGGACGTCGCGAAGGAAGCCTCCGACATTGTGCTCTCGGACGACAACTTCGCTTCTATTCTGAACGCCGTCGAGGAAGGCCGCCGTATGTTCGACAACATCCAGAAGTTTGTGCTGCACGTCCTGGCCCAGAACATCGCCCAGGCTTGCGTTCTGCTTATCGGGTTGGCCTTTAAGGATGATGACAACCTGTCCGTCTTCCCTATCTCCCCCGTGCAGGCCATGTGGATCATTATGATCACTTCTGGTCTGCCCGATATGGGTCTCGGCTTTGAGATTGCTGCCCCTGACGTCCTGCAACGTCCTCCCCATGACGTGAGTAGATTTTCTACCCCCTTCCCCCGCTCTAACCGGCGTTTCGGTCTGGAGCGAGACTTGTTCTTTCTTCAGCTTTTCAGGCAACTAATACAGCGATTAGATGAAATACGGCGTCTTCACCCCCGAGCTCCTGTGCGACATGGTGGTGTACGGTCTGTGGACTTCTTCTCTCTGCATGGGTTCTTTCCTGGTTGTCATGTTCGGGTTCGGCGACGGCCAGTTCGGAGCCAACTGCAACCGCGACTACTCGCCTCAGTGCGATACTGCGTTCCGTGCTCGTGCCACGTGCTTTGCGTCTCTCACCTGGCAGTCGCTCTTTCTTGCCTGGGAGATGATTAATATGCGCCGGTCCTTCTTCCGCATGGTTCCCAACAGCAAGCGGTACTTCACCCAGTGGATGGTTGACGTCTGGCGTAATAAGGTCCTCTTCTCGGCTGTCGTTTTCGGCTTCCTTACTGTGTTCCCCCTGAACTATATCCCCGTCCTGAACCGAGTCGTGTTCAAGCACACCGCGATCTCGTGGGAGTGGGCGGTCGTCTTTGTCGCGGCGGTCTTCTTCTTTATCGGCGTCGAATTCTGGAAGTGGCTTAAGCGTGTCTTCTTCCGCCGCCAGAATCGTAAGAAGACTGGCGGGACTAGGGACGTCGAGTCGCGTGTCTTCGGTGTGTACTACGAGCTCGGCGGCGTCGATTTGAGCAAGTCACCGTCGAGCCCGAGCAGCGGTGGTGAGAAGGAGGCTGGCGAGAAGACGACCCCGGAAGCGGACAAGAAGACCGCGGCCGACGTGGTGTGAAATGCTTCAATTCGCGAAGGGACAAGGAAAATATATACACGATGATACCCCCCCAGCGCCAGCGCCATCCCATGCTCCTTGGGGTCGCGGGAAACCACCAAAAACACGCACACAAAAGCAGAAAAGAAAGGTCGGGAGTAGAAGAGGAAGGAGGGCAGGATAGAGGATCTGATGTGGGGGCATAAGCGGAAGTTCTTTTTTATCTTGGGATTTTATCTGCGTGAGGAAATGTGGAGAGGTTTGATGCATTTAGATGAAGCTGATGGTTAGTTACCTTGACGTAGTATAGGGGCCGGGGGGGCACCCCAGTCAAGATCTCGGCAGCAACGCCGGTGAAATGTTTTAGACTTGAAAACAATCTATCTCTACCCGGGTCATCGTACGGGGAAGACGTTTTTCTTTGTTAAGATGGATCCAAATTAAATAACCCAAAAGGGCGGGAGAGCGAGTGGGCTGAACGGTGCTGTGCAACCCGAGAGGGATGTTGATGAGTCTTTGGCCTTCGGGTGTGGTTAGTTAGTCTGATAGGGTAAGGTGGTTGAAACAGTATATATTACTACCTTGTTACCCTCACAGTGGTGGTGTGTCCCTCCGGTTGTTCGTCGTTCCTTTCTTTGCTGGTGGTTTGTCTGCATCGTTGTTGTGGTTTGTGTGGAGCGGAGTGTCTCTTACGCCCTTGTCTCGCGGCACACCTGCAGGGCTGAGTCTCCCGTCCTTCTACCACGTATATATCTACTTTTGACATTGCTGTATATATATGTCTCTATTTATCAGAGTCACATTGAGGGATTGACCTGAGAAGGATGCAACAATACGGGTTATTCCGGCGCATGATAATTATTACCTGACGTGTCTTTTGTTGAGAAGATTTATCCATATATCCCATGTGTAAGAAACGACGATGTCCTGACATGTGGAAACAACGAATGTCACTTCTCAAGGGAATCGAAATACGCCGGCGTTAGACTCGTACCTCCGGCTTCCCGGCCGAATGCACTCCGCATTCCCACACGAAACAAGGAAGAATAGAAGACCAAAAAAAAAAAAAAGAGAGACAGAGAGATGCATAGTATGACGTTATGGACGCGAGCAGTGACGACAAGGAGGAGACATGTGTCTGTAGGTTGCTAAGGTAGGTTGGGGAGGGTTGCTAGACAGGCGTTCGGTATCAAGTCACATCGTCCTTGGTTGAACCAGTCAAGCGGACAAAAAGGAAAGAAAAAGAGGAGGGAGGGTGTCGAATGGTCAAGACGGGTTGGACCGGCCACCTGCATGTGGAAAGAACGCGAGACCATGGGCAGGGACGGATGACGGGAATGATGGGGGTAGAGAGAGCGAGAGGAGAGGAGAGAGCATAAGGGTTGGGTGATTTAGGGTATGGTTGGTGGAACAGCATTTGAGACAAGCGTTTGGCATGCGGTCGGCATGAGGACATTCCTGGGATCACGTAGTTGGACTGGTAGTGCATGATAATGCGGAGGTCGTCGACAGAGCCTTGACCAGTCCGTTAGATAAACTATATCAGGTTACTGGAATGGTGATGTTTGGCTGCATATGGACGGTAATGGTTGTGCGGCCACTCGGACTAAGTACGTGTAGGGTTTCCATTGATTTTAGGAGAGACTACTCCAGGGGAGGAGTAGTGTAAATGTATTGAGTCCAGAATTTTGAGTGCCGAGTCCCGACTGACGATGGAAAATACTCCGTAGCAGATGACGTCGTCACACAGGGTGAACACGAGCATCGGTTCTCGTTGGCTCATCAGAGGAGAGATCACGCGGTGGGGAAATTCCCCAGGGCACCTTCAGTGGCTCTGCTCCTTGTGACGGTCGTCACTTAGGGCGTTTCTAGTGTACGTGTAATAGTGCGTTTGCGGAAGGGGAACCTTCTAGCAAAATATCGAATTAATGACTTGCTTTGCGGGTGAAGCAAGCGCCCTATGAGAAGTATCGGAGCCAGGAAAATGTTAGAGTTGGACTGCTCCAACTGCTCCACCCACTGTGCAACCATAAGGTAACCATCCCAGAGCCCACTGCCTATCGGCTTCACGGTTTATCCTTTCGCTTCATTCTTATTCCCTAAAACAACCTCTTCTGACTTCCCTTCCGTCTCTTTGCATGCAACCTCCGCAAACCTGCCACATTATCAAACCAGGCCCCCTCAATCGAGCGCCATTTACAAAGTTCGCCGTCGCACAGGATCAGGTCCGAAATATAAGTGTACTATCAAGACCCTTGTCTTGTGCTACCCCGCCATCAACCCCCCCTTCCGTTTTCTCTTCTCGAGCCTCCACAAAGATCTCGAGAATTATTCAAGACCGACCACCGCAGCTTGGTTCGTCCAAATTCCGAAACTTGGTCAAGCTCTGCCCGTCTGCAGACCTTTAACTTTTTGTCCGTCGACATTTCCGATTCACCACGACGACACATCTTTTGCCAAAATGACTACGCTCGTCCATCACAGCCCGCAGCCGAATTCTCCGCCTGGACCGGCTGTCCAGCGTCCGAGGGGTATGATATGTCTTGTCCACATCGTGCTCTTTTCTTGTCTTTTTTTTTTCTTCTTTTTTTTTCCCTTGGTTTTCCTTTCTTCCGTTTTCTCCCCTTCTTGAGCGTTTTTGCCCTGTTCTATGCCGGTGATTTTCTTGTCTGACAAATACCATGTTCCTTCTAGGCATTCTCAAAAACTCATTCCAGAAAACCCCATCCCCACCTATTTCGCCCGCCCGCGAGAGGTCTCTTTCGGAGAAGGAAATCACCATCGCAAACACCCAGTTCAACGCCGGCCGACGGAGCTCCTCCTCCGGCGTCCGACCCGTTGGCTCCCGCCGTGCTTCCAGCCGGGCTTCCTCCCAGTACGGCGACGACGACCGCCAGGACCCCTCCCAGGACTCCCAGCGCCTGAAGTGGGACGAGGTCAACCTCTACCTGACCGAGCAGGAGCGCAGCTCCACCATGAAGATCACCGAACCCAAGACGCCGTACGCGACGCACTATGACCCGGCCGAAGACCCGTCGGACGAGGACGAGGCCATGGGCGGGATGGGCCTGGATGCTGACCGGATCAGCCCTACGAACCGCCGTCGCCTGGCCGGCGAGGATGACATTCCGGCCATGTCGCTGGGCGAGCCGGAAGAGGCCATCCCGGAGAGCGAGTCGGGCAAGGAGAAGCAGCTCAAGGCGGTGCAGGTGGGCGATCGCGGCCGGGACGACGACGGGCTCCACGACGAGGAGGAGCTGGTGGGCCTCTCGCCCGAGGGAAGGGAGAAGCACCGCCGCTTCGAGGAGATGCGGAAGAAGCACTACGAAATGAAGGGGGTGGCTCACCTGCTGGGTCATCCCGAGGTGTTGCCCGACGACGAAGAGGCGGACGGTGACGATGAGGGTGCCGCCCCGCCTCCGGTGCCTCCTGTTCCCAATCGACCTAACGGCGGAGCATGATCCTGGGTTGGGGGATAGGGAAGGTACCTTAGTGTAGGCATGGGAATTCATCTGAGCGGCAACGGCTTGTCTTTTTGCAACCAGGGGACGCCTTGATTTGGGTGGGATATGGGGCGTTAAGCATGGCAAGGCAGCGACTCGGGTTCGGTGTTTTTTTTGTCGTCTCTGTTTTCTTCTTCTCCTACTTTACTTTCTTTTGTCTTTCTCTTCGATTTCTTTTCGTCTCCCTTCTTCTCTCTTCTTCCCCCCTTTTCTCTTTCTATTGCCTAAGGCGTTCGGAAGCCGCCGACTCCATAGTAAGGCCCTTTTTCTTTGGTATTGTTTTCGTAGTTGTATTTCTTGGTTGGCTTGTATCATCCCACATCAGTCTGCACTCGATTGCTACCGCCGTCCACGGCGAAACATGGTGCATCAGGATAGTAAATCAACCCCCCTTGCCTTCCTGCGAAATGCCGACTTTCCAGAGCCATTTCAACGACCCCGTGGATTCGGATGCACATTGCTCGTTGCGCTTTTCAATGCCACCATACCATCCTTCGCAGTCCCACTTAACTTCATCATGATAACATGCGATAATCATGACAGACCAACACAACCCCGAGGGTTTCAAATGTTATTCCCTGCTAACTCTTCACAGCTTGCCCTGACGCGCCAACTGGACTTTCCGGGCAGCCTCGCCTTCGGCAAACCCGCCTCTGGAAACGCAGATGCGCTGGCCTTCGGCGAGTTCAAACTTGTCTTCGTGATTGGGCCAGGCGCAGGGGCAGTGGTGTGGGAAGTGAACGCAGGCCAGCGTGTCCGGGCAGAGGTACTTGTCGCAGTGTACTAAAGCAAGAGTAAGGTAGAATCGACGTGTCAGTTGTTTTCTTCTTCGTCTCTCTCTCTTGTCTTTTAGAGTGACTTACAACCGTCGTATTGTCGGCGGTAGTGTACCGAGTCGCTAGGGACATTTTGCTGCTGCTGCTGCTGCTGGTGTTGTTGGCCGCCGCCGCCGCCGCTGAACATTTGCTCGAAGAAGCCGAATTGCGCCTGGGCTGCGGCGACTGACGTCAGGAGGACGAGAGTAAGTGAGGAAAACGTTGAGCGCATGGTGAGAGTCTGATGGGTATTCAGAATCGATACGAAATAGTTTAATGCGTTGCAAAACAAGAAGGACGGGGAGAAAGCAATTATCAAGCTATGTGTTCATCTTCGATTCGAGATCCCGTGGTCGCTTCTCGGTACTTCGTTTCGTACCTTGGGTACTTCGTTCTGGCAACTTGCAACTTGGAAGCTGTCCAGATGGATCGAGCCCATGGACCCACCCACTACGCCCGCTTATCTTATCGATGTCCATGTCCTTGATGACTAAGGAGAGGAAAAACTCCGTTCCCCTGGAAGATGAAGCTCGATCAGCCGAACGTATGAATTTGAGTCCAAACCGACTTCCATCTCTCACGCAACCTCTTTCCCTAAACTCCCACGAAGGGGCGCCGTGACGCCGAAGTAGTCATGCGTCTCCTCAGACTGCAGCTCCCTATATGGGCAGCTGTGTCCGGGCTATTAAGACCGACTGTGTCCCTGACCCCCCTGACCATCGCGGCAGACTGCGGCCCCCGGGCACGCGGCATCGAGGTCAACAACGCCCTCGTGTCCGGCCGACGATACGCCTCGGTCAAATCGCAAGGACAGTACAAACTGAAGCCCAAGAGGACAATTCCGAAGAAGCTGGGAGCCAAGCGTACTGGAGGTATGTTAAATTGAGTCGGGGTGGATTGACTTTGGTTCTGGCTTGGCTTGGACATGGTTCCCAGCGAAGAGCCTGACAAGTCCAAACGTCAAACGTAACAATGGGGCAACGCTGACGATGGTTCCTCCCCACCAGACCAGTATGTCATCCCCGGCAACATCCTCTACAAGCAACGCGGCACGCTGTGGTGGCCCGGCGAGAACTGCATCATGGGCCGCGACCACACCATCCACGCCATGGCGGCCGGCTACGTCAAATACTACCGCGACCCCGCCCGGCACCCGAAGCGGAAATACATCGGCGTCGTCTTCAACAAGGACGACGTGCTCCCCTACGCGCCGCACATCGAACGCAAGCGCCGCCTCGGCATGACGGCGCACCCGATCGTCGAGCGGCCGCCCCAGCCCGAGGTCTCGGCGTCGGGAATCCCCACGACGGTGGTGCGTGCCGGCATCGCAGCACCGGGAAGCTCGCGTAAGGGCCCCGCGCGCGTGCTGCGGCTGCGAGACGACTACTCGTACCGCGAGGACAACTGGCGGGTCGGCCGGCTGGTGAAGCTGGCGGGCGTGACCAAGACGAAGGGCGGGCGGGGCCCGCGGAGCAGTCGCAGGGCGCGGTTCCGATCGAGGCGGTGGAGGGCGGAGCAGGAGCTCGAGGCCAGGCGGCGCAGCTCGGCGGCGATGGAGGAGACGGAAGAGCTGGACGAGTGGACCAAGGCGGCGCAGCGGCGCGCCGAGGAGGAGCGGCAGAAGAAGATCCAGGCGCAGAAGGATAAGAAGAAGAAGCAGGCTGAGCAGCAGGCCAAGGCGCGGCAGGCGGCCATTCGCAGGTCGGCGGCGAAGAAGGAGAAGGCTAGTGCGCAGGGGCGCTGATGTCGTGATAGAAACCCCACGCTTTTTCCTCCCCCGGCTCTTTTTGTATCAGTAGGTTCGGTTCGGTTCCACATCCCCGGCGAAGAGGGCAGGACAAGGAGATAGATGTACGGATAGCTCAATTGTTTCGCTTGTTTGTTCTATGTGAAGATATCTTTGTGCTTCGGATGGGGATGTGGCGAGTCCTTTGAATACGACCATGTTTCTCTGTCTTGCTTTGTCCGCTGGCTCTCTGGATACGAAATCATTCTCCTTTTGCCGAATCTCCCTACGTTATATACCTTCTTACCTAGGTAGTTTACGCCAATAAGTAGACCATTTCCGTCCAGCTGCTTGGAAATGGTGGGTCGAGTCTTTTCGTGCAAGTGATTTTTCATCATCTCGACTTGAGAAATAGGTATCTCTTGAAGCACCCCGTTCTACAATTGCTATACTAAGCTTACGCCTGTATTGGCCATAATGTTCACTTCTTCGCCATGTGTACCTGAGGTATACTTACAGGTAGGTAAGGTACGGAGTAAAGACCATAGGTACAGACAGTTACAAACAATTTCTCTAAGGTACCTCAAGGTATTTAAGGAAACTTCATGCCTCAGTGGTCAGTGAGCAATTGCCTAAGATATCGTTGTTGCGGCAGTAATCACGTGACTACCACCAGCTAGCCAATCAGGCTGCAGAGTAGATCTAGCTAGGAGAGGATAGAGCTCAGGCGGTACCTGATATTGATAAGGAAGGGTCGGTACGTACCCTGGCAAGCGGCAGTCGCGTCCCAGCTACCTTACGGATAATACTACTTCGTCGTCGCGTCAAAAGTCCAAGCAACTTCAACAACTGCGCTCACTTGCGCCAGCCACGGAAAGAAAGAAAAAAGAAGCAGAAAAAGTCGATCCAGACGGCCAACGACGGCCAATATCGACCTCGACTCTTCCACCCAGTTTCTAACTTCTCTCAATATACATCCCGATCTCTTCTCTCTCTTCTGCGTGTCTTCCGTTGCATCGTAAACCCACGCTTGCAATCTAACGTTCCGAGCCTCTTTCTCGCCTTCCCTGCCACCCAAATCCACCTCGAAGTCTCGGTGGCTTCCGTTCTTCGGCCTCAGCACCATGTCCCAAGCCAGCCCGCCCATCGTTCCCCCTTGGGCCACTTCGCTCTTGCAAGGTCCCAGGAACGATAGCACGTCAAGCACGCCCTCCAAGGGAAAGAGTCCGGCTCTTCATTCTGCTACCCCCGGATCTACACTTGCCGCTCCTGCGTCTCGCCCTACCGTCAGGATAACCTCGACCCCGACCTCTGCCTCGACCTCGACCTCAACCTCGACCTCAACCCCGAAGCCGAACCCGAAGCCGAAGCGGAACCAAAATAGAGAAACACACGACGATCCATCACGAAGCCCGGAGCCAGCTCGTGTCGTCAGCGACCTCGCCCCGCCCCCGTCTGACCAGGCCTCAGGAGCCGGTCCGGGGCCTATCCACGTCGCGCCTCCCTTGGCCGTGAGCAAACCCCCGGTCGGAGCCACCGATGCCAGCAAGTCTTCCTTCTCCGGCAGCTCCAGAATCCAGTCATTGCAGAAGCAGTGGGAACATAATCATTCTGACACGCCGTCCACGTCCGCAGACCCCTCCAAGAGCGTCGCCATCACGGGCGATGTCGGCCGGCGTACTTTCAACACGGAGCATCGCACTTCCACCAGACCTTTAGTTGATGTGCCTTCCTCGTCATCCTCTGACGAGTCGGATATCCCTTCCCAGCTGCCGACCGTGGCTTCTCGTCGTCTTATCCGGAATCACCCGGGCCAAAATGGGTTCCGAGGTCAGAATGCTTAGATCCTATTCCTATGCTTCCGTGCACGTGGTACTAACCTATGATAGTCTTGTCAGGCCCGAATAGAAAGCGGTCGCCTGGAGACCCGGCTCCTGGGTTGCCCAGCTACAAACGTCGTCATACCGAGTCCGCGGCCGGTGTTGAAGAGACGACGCTCTCCTCGTTGACTTTACTCAAGAACGAACAGGACCGGGTCCCTTCGATAGTTCCGCCGAGACAGGAAGTTCAACCTGCGTCAACCCTAACTGCCCGAGCACCGGGTCCTCAGAACCCTGCCAGCGGAGGAGCAACGCGCCCGACCTTTATTCCCATCAGCCGGACGAATGAACCACTGACATCCTCTTCCGAATCTGAGTCTGACCTTGAGGACGAGGTAGAAGACAAAGTTGACGACGAGGTAGAAGATGAGGATGGGGATAAGGATGTGGACTCGGACGAGGGAGAGGAGGCAGAAGATGGGGACGTTGACGAGGACGAGGACATGACCCTCATGGACCAAACGACACCCCAGTCGCAGGACGAAGGATACAGTGCGGACCGCTCGGGCATATTCCTCCCGGGAGTCAAAACGCGAGGAGCAAAGACCTCCTCCCACCCGGAACCCTTACTCTTGACTACGGACGGAGACCGGCCCTACAACATGTGGAAGCACCCCGGCGACGGCAGCCTCGTATCCACCAACGGAGCCCTGTTGCCGGCAGGTTACACCCCGTATCACGACCCCGACAACCCTGACCTTGAATGGATTTGTCCCGTTCGCGACTGCAGAAATTTATTAGGCGGTGTTACGAGACTTGGCGCTCACATGAACGTAGGTTGTTGCCTTTCCCTTTGCCCTTGGATAGGTGTGGTGTGGGGGGGGTGGAAGAGCAGAAGAAACATTGACAAGGGTTCGTTGTACAGGCAAAACACCACCATTCCACCTTTAATGACAACGGGGACGGGACCCTGACCTGGGTGGGCCGCTACACTAACCAACCAGGAAGACCATCTGTGCCCATTGTCGTATCGACGAACCCCCCAGGTCCTGATGAGCCGCCTCCCGTCCAACCGACCGTGCCGGCCTACATTGCTCAGGAGAAGAAACGAGCGAAGAAGCTTGCCCGACTACGCCTGTCTTCCCGGAAACACGCCCCCAAAAACAAAAAAAGCAAAAGCAAAAGCCGCATAAGCGCTGCAATGACCGACGACTCCGCACCCGGCAAGCTGCTGCCACGGAAAACCTCGGTGATTGAGTATCTGCACCAACATTTCGGTCCGGAGTTGCAGTTGCCGGACAAGGGGGGTAGCCAGATGGAGCTCCTCCAATTACCGCGGCAACGCGACCTGCCCCCTCGCTGGGGACTTCATTATAGGTTCCACACCTGGGGCGCGCCCCCCGTCTTCTCCGTCGCTCTCTACCTCACGGGCGACGTCGCCAGGGACGGGCGCTGTCAGGTCTGCACAGCGGGCGACGGCATCTGGAGGCAGTGCGTCGTGGCTCCTAAGGGGGCCTCGGCGGGGCTCCGGGAACGCCTCAAGGGGACATGCGCGGGGTGCTTGTTCCGGTCCAACAATAGGCGCCACCGCAACATTTGTTCGTTTCTTGTCGGGAAGCTGGTGGCGGACGATTTGGCCGATCGTGAAGTCCTCGCGGAACCGATCCCGGTTGATGATGTCCCTACCCCTACTCCTGCCCCTGCCCCTGCCCCTGCCACTGGCGCGGCCCTGGCCCTTTCGGCGGCAGAGCCAGCCGGTTCGGCACGTCCGATACGCAGTACGAGACTGGCGAGGCTGGAGAGGTCCAGCACAGATGTCACGACTGGTGCTGCTGCTGCTGCTTCTTCTGCTGCCGTTGTTGCTGCATCGAGGCCAACACGGTTGAAGTCTTCACCGAAACCGTCATGGACTGACAGCATAATCAACCCCGGGGCACCGGTGATAACGGCAGATGTATTGGAGATGGAGGACTGGGAGGTTGCGCCAGGCCGGATTCGCGATAATGCGGAATCGGCGGCTGATAGTACGTTTTTGTCGAGTCTTTTTTTACCCCCTTTTTACCCTTTGTTCCCCCCTTTTCCCCCTTTTTCCCTTTTTTTCTTTTTCTGCTTCTTCAGCTAACAGCAACTTCCACAAACACACAGATGTGGCCTTCTCCAACTCGTACCTGACGTCCAACCGCGCGATTCCCGTCTCCAACGATGTTAGTTTCAACGTGGTGGTGCTCAAACCGGGCAGTTCGACGCAGCTCGCGGCGGAAGACGACAAGATGCGCCTGTGCTCGCTGGCCACGGGCAAGGTGCGTGTTCGGATGGACGGGGTGGACGAATTCGTCATGGGGCCGAACGGCATGTTCAAGGTGCGGTCGGGGGTGGGTTGTTCGGTGCAGAACCGGCTTTACATTGATGCCGTGCTTCACATTACGACCATCACCGATGATTAGGCGAGATGGTTATTCCTCTTTTCTCTCTCTGTTTGCTGTATTGCTGGGGCAGAAGAGGGGGAGTCGTGGTAGCAAAAGGCGTTGGCTGGGTGTCTCGATGGCTTTGGTGGTTAGGGATATTACATTCTGCGAACACTTTACTACCTCTTGGGAGCGGAATCGGCCCTGGGCTTTCATCTTTCTCTGCAGTTTATGAGCCATGGGGCCGCTGAGACCACAGGTATATAATGTGCCTAGGAGAGGGGACTGGGAGCAGAGGATTACGTTTATAGCCGCTGCCACAAGCAGGAGTCAAGGCGGGTTGAAACTTGAAAGCGTTGAAATCGTTGACTCTTTCAATTCTTGAAATCCCCATTAGAGAGGTGCTCTTCCTGGTCGTAGTAGACCTGAAACTCGCAGTAACAAAACTCCGGGTCGGCCTCGACGTCAAAGTTGAACTTGGCCTCCTTGTCCGGGATGAGGACCTTGGGAATGGAGTGGGCGACCGACTCGACGAGCAGCTGGACCTGGCAGCTCTTCTCCATGCTGGTGAACAGCCAGGCGGCCTCGTCGACGGTGCGGCCGACAGTCAGCAGGCCGTGGTTACGGAGGATGCACCCTTTGCCGCGGGGGCCCAGGGCGGCGGCGATGAGGTCACCTTCCTCGGGGCCCAGGACGACGCCGCCGTAGCGGTCGTAGACGGCGTGGGCGTCGGCGTAGAACTTGCAGGCGTCCTGGGTGATCATGTCGAGGCGGCGGGCGAAGACGCTCCAGGCCTTGCCGTGGACGGTGTGGGCGTGGCACACGGCGTGGGCGTCCGGGCGGGCGCGGTGGACGGAGGAGTGGATCAGGAAGCCGGCCTTGTTGGGCGGGCGCGAGCGGTTGCCGCCGATGACGTTGCCGTCTAGGTCGACGAGGATCATGTCGCTGGCCCGCAGGAGGCCGAAGTGGCGGCCGAGCGGGTTCGTCCAGAAAGCGTTGGGGTGTTCCGGGTCGCGGACGGAGATGTGGCCGGAGAAGCCCTCGACGTAGCCCATCCTGTCCCAGTGGCGGAAGGCGGCGGCCATGTGGGAGAGCAGCCAGGTCCGGTGGGCGGCGAAGGAGGGGTGGGTCGGGATGCCCTGTAGGGGGACGGAGCCATGGGAGATGGCTTCGATGGCGGTTTGGCCTTTTGGGATGGGGTTGGGGAGGGTGTCGGTGGTGTCGGTGGTGGTGGTTACCCAGGGAGCCATGGTAGTGATTGGTATAAGTGGTTGGTATCCGTAAGTTGGTTAATAACTCGGAGGTATATTAATGTTTCTTTTGATAGGGATTATGGGCTACGAGGACTTTGGGAAATAGAAACATACCTTATATACTACGTATTCTGTATATATAAGGTATATATGTTTATAAACGTTGGGAGGCAAAGACGTATCCGGATGAGGGGTAACAGATAGGTAACAGATAGCAGCACATGGTTCTTATGCTTGCCGTAAGGACGAAGGGCGTAAGGGATTGTCCGACGATAATCACTCATTACTCTATAAGGTACTTGATACCCTTTTCGTTCCGGTTAAACCCGTCCGGACCTTTTTGTCCCCTAATAAGATTGTCTTGCACCTTCATTTTAACACCTGTATATTCTGATACAATCAGTCGTTGGTTACTAACTAGCCCTGTAGATGTATGGTTCTGTTGTTTCTTCCTCTCCGAGGTCGGTACCTGCTTATCTTATCGTGTCGACGGTTGGTAGTACCGTTAATTCCCCCCTGATTTCTTTGGCCATAATCATAATATTTCGCCGCGATGCGTTCACTAATTGTTCGCTCAGCCTTCAGGTCGTATATATTATGCTTTTCCTGCGGGGGAGTAGCGATCATCATTTTAGGAAGTAAATACGAAGTGAAATTGTTGCTTCGAGGGCGGTGGGCGCAGGAATAGTTAAGAGGGAGGCCGGGGTAGTCAATTTCTTTTCTTTCGATTTTTCTTTAATTCTTTTTTATTTTTCATGAGATTAAAAAAAGAAAATACGGACATAGAAAATGAGTTACGTTCTTTTATTTGACCGACCAACTCATCTCTTACTAGTCATCTCAAACGCAAGAAAGCCCGTGTGAAAAATAAAATAAAAACCATCTAGTTCCTGAACGCTCAATTGACAATGGGCGAGTTTCAAGCAACTTCAGACCGCTTCCTGGCGTGGTTCAAATCCGTTGGCGGCCAGTTTCGTGAAGAACTTTTACAGATTGTTGACTCCCGGCATCGTGGAGCTGGTCGTGGCATCGGTAAGTGACCATAACACAGCCCTGGCCTTCCGATCCTTATATATTCTTCTTCTATCAAGCTACTGGCCCAGTTGATCTCCCATCCTGACACCACAACTCATCTAGTCGCTACCAAGGATATCCCCCAAGAGACTGCCCTGTTTACCATCCCCAGGCACGCCATTATCAATGTCTTGACCTCCGAGCTCCCAAAGAAGCTTCCCGGGGTCTTCAGCAGCTCCGCGAACGACGATGCCGGGGATGAAGACGAGGACATGGACGGTTCCGATGCACCGGACTCTTGGGGATCACTCATCCTCGTCATGCTGTACGAGTACCTGCAAGGGGATACCTCCCGTTGGAAGCCTTACTTCGACGTTCTGCCCGATCAGTTCGACACGCCCATCTTCTGGTCCGACGCCGAACTCAAAGAGCTCGAAGGCACTTCGTTGACCCCCGAGAAGATTGGGAAGCAAGAAAGCGATGCCATGCTTCGCTCCAAGATCCTCCCCGTCGTCTTACAGAACGCGTCCGTTTTTTATCCTGAAGGGGCTGCCCATCTTGGCGAGGACGAGCTTCTTCGACTGGCCCATCGGATGGGGAGCACCATCATGGCATACGCCTTTGACTTGGACAACGACGATGCGCCTGAAGATGAGGACGAAGATGGCTGGGTTGAGGACCGAGAGGGTCAGACTATGCTGGGCATGGTTCCGATGGCGGATACCCTGAATGCCAATGCCGAGTTCAATGCACGCACCCCTTTCTTTCTTTCTTTCTTTCTCGTCCTCGATGACCCGCGTCTTCATTTCATGTTTACCCCCTAGTAGACTGCATGTGGCTAACATTATGTGTTGTTCAGGCGCATGTAAACCACGGCGAAGCCCTCGAAGTCACGGCCATTCGTTCCACTATCCAAGCTGGCTCGGAGATTCTCAACTATTATGGCCCCCTCCCAACTTCAGAGCTTCTACGGCGATACGGCTACGTCACTCCCCAACATCAGCGCTACGATATCGTCGACATCCCCTGGAGTTTAGTCCGTACGATCCTCCGGGACCACCTCGGTCTTTCCCATGACGTCTGGAACAAACTTGTAGGGCCCTTCCTTTTCTTCTTCTTCTTCTTCTTCCCCCCCATCAAACGTCCAACTTGGCATAATTATTAACCCCGCCCAGCAATCTCAAATGGACGAGGACGAGATCGAGGACTCCTTCATCATCGAACGAGACTCTGGCGACCCCGACTCAGAAGGCCGCCTAACCGAGACCCCCGTGCTTCGCGAAATCTCCTCCGAACTCGACGAACAGATCAAGTCCTTCCTCAAAGCCCTGAAGAAGCTGGACGCCAGCCGTATCCCCGACAAGCGCAAGAGAGACGACATCCGCAACGCCGTCGTCGCGAAAGTTCTGGATGCCAGGCTCGCGCAGTACCCCACCACGGCTCAAAACGACGAAGCTCTCCTGGCCAGGGATGATCTCCCCCACCGACACCGCATGGCCGTCCACGTTCGGCTTGGCGAGAAGAAGCTGCTGCAGGAGGCCATTGACCTGCTGCAATCCCAGGCGCAGGGTGGTCTTCACTCCGAGAATGATCACGAGCCGTCCTCTAAGAGGCCGAGAAACTAGGGAGTGATTCGATTTGTTTGTAGTAACAGCGTCTTTCTCCATGGTAAAGCCGGTGTCGCTGTTTATCACATCTGCGTCTCCCTTTCTAGCACCCCCTGAGTCTGTCTTGTGTGCTTTAATTCATGGTAGTAACCATCCAAGAAGCTCACTTCCAAGCGTTGTTCGTATCCTAATGTCATCATGCCTTTTTCAGTCCGCCTACCTACATGTGAACACTCGTCCCTCCGCTCAGTGACCAACCGAAAAACCTTACAAAGTGAAACTGGCTCGAGAAAGAGGGCGCTCGTCGAAGAAGAAGGCACTTGCACCAGCGCCGGCATATGGATTAGTATATTTTGTCATCAGGCATGCTCCTAACCTCCGAATCCTCGTGATTGCCGGAGAATTTTGACGCCACGGGGGGCTCTATGGAATCACATCATACCGCCGTTCATTTTCTCCGCAAAAGCCGAGGGGCTGTTCAACGACGAGTCTGTCACACTGCGCGGTGCCCCCCCCCCCCCCCATCCCTTTGTCTTTCGCTTCCTACATTCAACACGATACCCTGCTCTCTCGGGAGTTTTCAAAACCCAGCCTTTTGATGTTCCCTGACAGCCTATCTTTTGCCCAGACGTGATTTCCTTTCCCTAGCGTACTTCCTGGTGCTTTTGCCTTCTACCGTAACACCGCTCCAAATTTAGGTCATGGCGAGCTGCAAGACAGGGCTGAGTGGCACGGAAGCGGGCCAGGGTCCAGTCGACACCCAGGATTATTCCGTGCTTCGAGGCTTCTGAGTAGCCATGGCAACAGCGACTCGGGCTGTGAAAGAGGGAAAAAAATAAAATTTGCAAACACTCAACCCTCTCGACTAGGTCATACTGCATCGGGCAACCTCACAGCAATGTCTCCTGACTGGGTGATGTATCTCACCCACGGTAGCGAGGGGTATTGTAGCTAAAAGAGTGATAGGTCAGCAACAAAGCACGTAAAAAGAAAAGAAGAAGAAGAAAAAGAAAGGAAAAAATCATTAAAAAAGTAAAAGCCCACCTTCGGCTCGGTAATCTTGAGATACCGCACCTGAATGCCGCTCGTAGTAAAGTAAGGAATCTCAAACTTGACCTGGATGGGCCGCTTGGCCCCCTTGCCAGGAGCACCGACACCGCCCATGCTGCCGCCAAAACCACCCGTCATGCCACCGCCGTGCTCGTCATCGCCACGAACGGAGGGGAGACCAAGCTCGGCGCGCATGAGGAACTCCTTGCCGCCGCCAAACTGCTTGATCTTCCACACGATGGCGCTCTGCTCGGGGGCATAGTGGACGGAGCCAATGTTGGTGCGGAAGCGCGGGCTATCGGCGTCGTCGGGGACGGGGACGATAATCTCGACGTTGTTGGCGGTGCTGCGGCGCTTAAACTGGGCCTTGGCCTTGAGCATGTACTCGATGCGGGAGCCGGAGTGGGACTCGACGAGGCACTCGACCCAGATGAGGGGCTTGACCTGGGTGTTGAGGCGGTAGCTCATGAGCTCGAACTCGCCGTCGGGGGGGATGAAGGAGATGGTGCGGTCGTTCTCGAAGCGCGAGAGGCGCACGCACTGGTGGAATTTCACGTCCTCCATCTCGACGGCCTTGCCGCGCGTCGACCGGCCCGTGGTCTCGAACATGACCTTGTCGTTGAGGCCGAGGCGCAGCTCGGGCATGCCGCTCAGGTAGCACTTCATCTTGATAGCGCCCAGGATCTCGGAGCGCAGCACGTTGCCGTTGGCGCCCACCAGGAGGTTGAGGGACTCGATGACGTCGAGGAAGACCTCGTTCTTCCGGTACCGGATGCCTTCGGACCGCCACGAGACGGCGTTGGTGACGGCGATGGGGGGGCGGGCTTGGATCTCGAGCTTGTGGGACTCCTGGGTGATGTACTCCTGGAGGATCTTGGACTCGGTGGTCTGCGGGTAGCCAAAGTCCATCATCTCGTCGAGGAGCTCGTAGATGATGACGAAATTGTCCCGGATAGACTCTTCCTCCAGGGCCTTGAAGTATTCGGTGAAGACCTCGACGATCTTGTGCAGGAAGAGCAGGATCTCGGCGGCGTTGGTGTTGCGTTTCGTCAGGGCGAGGAGATAGAGGTTGTTATGGCGGATGTAGAGATAGTTGATGCCTTCGTGGGAGAAGCATGGCGGTACGGCGGATGATTCTTCTTCGGCCTCGCTCAAGAGAATAGGGAACATTTCGACGGCGGACATGGGAATATCACCGCGATAGTTTCGGGCAAGGAGGGTCTGTTGGAGCGCAAAAGCCCTTGTATCAGCGCCCATCTCGACTTGTTGCCATGGCCGTGTCAGGAGTTCCTACGAAGACGCACCTTGCCCTTGAGGTCTAGAAAGAATATTGCTGATGCCATGGTGGGATGACGCTGAGTCTGGCGACGAGAGTGCCCTGACGACGGGGAAGAAAAGGGGGGAGGGGAGGGGAGGGGGAAGGGTCGGTAATTGGCGCTCCGGCCAGACGGTGATCAGGTATCCGAAGAGGTCCGAATCATGCAGTGAATAAGAGAGACAACATCCAGGTGTAGCTGCAAGGCAGAATTACAGGATTGTCGTTGTTGTGCGCGTCGGTCATCAGGCATAAAAACACTTGAAAGGCTGCCGTGGGTGCTCTCAACGAATGTGGACCTTGGACGACCACGATACGGTGTCGTGTCTGACGTGTGCACGGACCACCACGGGTTGGACGTATGAACAAGTACTTCGTACCAAGGAGCTACAGGCAGCAGGAACCGTACAAATCACGTGACGGACCCACAAAAGTCGGTATAAGCGAGAGGGAGTCAAAACTCGCTCGCCCCCCCAACTCCCTTTTCTTTTCCCTCTTCTTCTCTTTCTTCCTTACCCGCGTCCATAGACAGTGCAGCTCATTATTGCAACCACAAACGGATCGACATTCTGTCGTCCAGCCGTGATGTCGTTGATGAAGCAAGCGATTTCGAGACGCGTAGAGGAAGAAAGCGCTACGCCCGACCTGTGCCATAAGAGCTGCCCTTGTGTTGACGCTTTGCCTTTTGGCGAAAACGTCTTTGTTGCGTGGGCGGCGTCAGAGGCACTGGACAAATTTCATACATTCTTTTTTTTTTTTTCCTATATTTTTTTTTTAAACTTCTGTGTCTCTTGAATCCATCCGCCTTGGGTCGATATGACAAGTCGGACGTGGACGTGGACATGGAGCCGAGACAGCCTCGGCTGTTGCAGGGCGTTCCTGTGCGTGGGCAATGTCGTTCTGGTGTTCGTGGTCCATCTGTACCAATGAATTCTCCATCTCTTGGAAGCTTCATGTTCAGAACTGAGTGCACGCCGTTTGAGATAGACAGAACACTGGCCCATTGCATGGTGACCAATGGTGTTGGGCGATGGAATGGTCATGGAGTGGTCGTGAAGTCGTTAGACTCTCGCTTGCTATTTATTATTTGCTTGCTAATTCAGATTGGTTGATCTTGATCTCCGGGGGATGCGACCTCTAAACTTGAGCTTGACGAGGGCCGCGGTTTTACCGACGATCTGTCATATGAACTGGTTGAGCTTAGGTACTCGCGAGCTCTGTTGATCCTACTAGTCTTCATCCGGCGTAAAATGCGACCCGGCGGAGGGAAGGAGGGCAACACAAGACCGGTGGATGAGAGGGGACCACCAACGAATACGGATGCCTAATGCCTACCGAGAAGTGGCCTTCGTCTAAACTGGATCGTCTGTCATTGCCACCGGCTAGACCAACGGGTTGGTTCACTGTCCACAAGAAGCTGTGGTTGTGAGGGCGGATATGTAGAGGGTTTGAAACTCCGAACCGGCCACAGGATCTGGGACTCGGGACGAAAACATGCCAGTTGAGTGCTGATGGTTCATGAGTCGCTTTCTTGACAGTCTAATACGTCTTATCTTTTTTTCGTCTTTGGGGCTCCGATTGCCACGATTGCCAATTTGCGTTCTATTCATCTCATCTGCGTGATCTTTTCAGAATCTGGCATATGATAACAACATAACAACGCCCACGATACCTAAGAAGGGACGAGAATGGTCGTGTCCGTTAGTTTTACCGGTGCGGCCCTCCGCCAACTGGCTATCGGAGACTACAATGGTCGCTCTGGCCACACCCTTCCCTTTCGGGATAAGTACGAAGCCTGTACTCCAGGATGTCTCGTCTCTCGTCTTGGGCGGCGACAACCATATGAAGTAGGTACAGAGTAAGAAGTACAGTACTTCCGACGTATTTCTCCTCACTTTACAAGTCAACGCATGTGATAATCCCGTGGTTGGATGTCGACTGGAAATGCTTCCCGCTAAGAAGGAAAAAACCCCCCCCAACCTTCTGACACGTGCTTCCGGCGAGGTTCCCCGTCTTTCCCCCCCTACCTTTCATTTCGGTTCCGCTGTGACTAACGCTCTGCATCATGCGTTTGTTTCCTGGGTACTAGTTATTATTTTTCGTCTGCAGCGTCTCTATCCTCTTTTTGAGTTTCATTCTTGCCACTTCGCTTCTTCTCTTTCCATACCTTTATATGCAAGATATTCCGTAAGCCTGTCTCTTTGCTGCATCGCACTGAGGATCATGCCAAAAGTGCCTTCGTACGGAGTCCACCCAACGGCCCCCAGGCCAGAGAATAAGCATGTGCCTCGGGTAGGGTCTTGCGCCCAAGCATGAAGTACTTGCGATAGTTGGAGTGGGCCTCTCAAAGGTCCGGAATGCACCTGCTTTTCAGCTGGCGCCTGTTCGATGGGTCATGGCCTTTTGATTTGAGAACCGAGCCTTGTGATTACCATGATGCCCAAGGTATGGCCGGTTGGACGAAGTACGTTGTAACTAAGGTACAGATACTTCGTAGGAGGGAGGTTATTCAATTCGAGGCTTTTGCTGGTTCCCCGTGGCCCCAGATCAGTACTCGGTACGGAGTAATTAACTTTGTGTCAATCTCAAAGCACGTGTAATAAACTCTACGGAAGAGTAAAAGTACTAACTACCGATGAAATACCGATGGATGAAGATGATTTGCTCATTAACGCACCTGCTCTGGAGAGTATTACCAAGTCCTCCATACCCGTCCTCCCGTCCTTCCCTTGATGTTTATTTAGGGGGAAGGGTATAGCATACGGTACCTACATTATTTAACAGGCGTAAGAAAAGAGGGGGTTCCGCTGTCCGCACCCACGCCAGCCAGGCGTTCAAGCACCTTAGTTGCACCCACATGTACACACCACACACCATGGATTACCTAGCCCTATCTTACAGTACCTGGTACATAATACCTCTTTCTCCTCCCTGCCTTCGGGTCTCGTCACCGTTACTGTACCTTACCCTGGGTATCCGTATCCTCCACTTCTCTTCGCTCCCCCTTCTCTCATCACAAACAAGGGGGACCCCATTCTTACCCTTCCTTCTTTTTAATCCCATCTTCCCCCGGTCGGTTCTTCCAATCTTCCTCCTCCCACCTATATCTTCCCGCCCTCACTTCCTGTCGTACATAGACGTCGACGCAGGACATTTCCCAGTCCCGCATTCAGAGACAGACCCCGAGTCAGAGAGACCCGCCTCAACGCCTCACATGTCATCAGCGTTCCCGTAGCAGAGACACGGCGGGTTCCTCCCCCCACCGCCAGATGGACCACAATCACATGTTGCCCCGGTCCGCCGACCGGCACGTCGAATCTGACCCGACCAAACCACCACCCGGCGTCTTCGATTCGGTCGCCGATACCTCGCTGCCGCCGCCACCTTCGTACGCTCCTCCGGCTTACCAGGCGCAGGCGCAGCCGCAGCAGCAGTTACAGTCGCAGTCCCAGTCGCAGTCGCAGTCGCAATCTCATGCCCGGGCTCACGATTCCGCGCCCCTAAACTTTTTCGACCTGCCGACCCGCGAGCTCCCTCCCATCCTCCCCGCCTCGACTCGTCATGATGGCGTCCCCAATAGACTGCCTTCTCTGTCTTCCCTGACCGGCCCTCCTGACCAACGATCCGTTCCTGGTCCTGCTGCGCCATCTGTGCCAGTTTTGTCTCCAATGCCAGCTGCTCTTTCGTCTGCGTCTGCGTTTGCGTCTGCATCTGCGTCCACCTCAACAACACCGTCTAGATCCTCGTCCACGTCCGGACCGTCAGGCTCGGCCGCATCCACGCCTACGGCCACGGCTCCAGCCACGGCGATGCTCCCCGAGCGTCCCCTGCCCAGGCCGGCACACAGCATTACACACTGGCCGAGCATGAACCCTTTCACCACCTACTATACCCCCAGCTATGCCCAGCAGCCCTCTGGGATGGATATGGACGCTGCCAGTAATAGTAATTCGACGAGCACCGCGTCGCCTGACCGATTGACCAACGGCAGATCCGTCAGCGTTAGCTTGGATGATCCCGAGGTTCGCATGGCCGCCGAAGCACTTGGCGACTTGAGAGCAGGTAGGTTAATTTTTTATTTATTTCTTTTCTTCTTCTTCTTTGCTTTGATCCCCATGCTAACCAAAACAAAAATCGCAGACTTCGTCAGCTCCCCCACCAGTCGAAATACACCCCTTCCAGCTCGCTCCTCGGCGCCCTCCCGGGGCTCGAGGCTATCTCCGCAATCCCCGCAGCAAGAGCCTCTCTTTTCGCTCCTAACCACATCGCATCCCCTACTCGCCAGTACCATTGAGAATGCTACTTCGGCCTACAATACATCAAAGAACTTTTCGCCCCGGATTAAAACCAGCGTAGAGTACGTGGAAGGGTGTTTGACCCCCATTGCCAACACAGTTGGCTCTGTCGGCCGAGTGACGGGCGTCGAAGGCGGAGTACGATGGTTCCTGGGAGCCGGAAGGCGTCATCGTCAGCATCAACCCGACCTCGAGGCCGAGGGCGGTTCGAACAAGAGACGCAAGGTCGACAGGGGTGATGAGATGATCGGTGTCGTAGTTGATCCGGCATCGGGAGGCGCGTTTCCTCCCGTGTCCGGTACCGACTCGCCTCGCGATTCGTACGTCTTCACTCCCGACCGCCGGCTGTCGCGCGCTAGTACCGTCGAGACGCTACCGGCTTATGACGATGCTCGCTCTCCGGCCTACACCGAACATGACAAGGAGACCGGGGACAGGTCCAGCATTTCCTCGAGCGAGATGAGGAGATCCCGGCTGATGGTCTCCACATCCGGCCTCGCGGTGGCCATGAGCAACGAGAGCTTGCGCAGTCTGAAATACTGCCTCCACTGGCTCCGCCGCGCCAACGAGCACATCGGCGGGGTGGTGACGAACCTCAAGACGACGCTCGAGCAGTACGAACAAGCCGGTACCTCGGCGGGACAAGAGGGTGAAGCCGCCCTCGCCGCTGCTGGTGGCGAGACGATAGACGTAGATGGCCGTGGCGGCGGTTCGGAACCGGGCTCGCAGCGGGAGGACCAGACGGTCCTGGCGGCACGCATCATGGTGCTCAGGGCGGAGATCCTCAGAAACCTGCAGGCCGCCATAGAGACGGTGTCGCGCTACGCCGGGGGCGCCCTGCCCGAGAACGCGCGGGCGCTGGTCCACCGCCAGCTGACGAGCCTGCCGCAGCGGTTCCGCTACGCTAGCATGGTCGAACAGCAGCAGCAGCAGCAGCAGCAGCAGGGCCCTGACGGGTCGGCGATGCCACCGGAAGAGCGGACTCGGGAAGGCGCGAACCGGGTGCTCGTCTTAGCTAAAGAAGGCCTGGACATGATTACCCAGGTGAGCGGTGTGATAGACGGCACCATTGTGAGTGCCGAGGAGTGGTGCGACAAGCTCGGCACCAAGAGGCGGGCGGATGGAGAATCGAGCTTGCCCGAGTCTCGGATTCAAGCTTCGGGCAGCGATACGAAGATGGGCTGAAAGGAGTGACCAGGAGCGATATATCAAAAAAAGGGAAACAGATTTTTTTGGACCGGTCAACAAGAAAGGAAGAGAAAGAAAAGGACAGAACAGAAAAAAAAGACGAAAAAAAAAAGAAGACAAAAAACACCCCCGAGCATGAACGGCGCGAGCGCACAGGAGCGACGAAAAGTGGGTTTGGCGACGGAGCGAAAACCAAAGAGATATCCACGGCGATACCGGACACACTGATTCCTGAGTATGATACCACCTATGCAATATTTTTCATTGTTTTGTCTTCACTTTTTCCTGATTTTCCCTTACCCCTTTCCTCTCCTTTTTACGTTGTTACTTATCACCTTGTCAACCTTGACCTGGCCTTGTCGTCACATCCACTCATACGAGTCTTGTGCATTCCCCTCCTTCCTTTTTTTTTCTTTTTTTTTTTCTTCATTACTCTCTGATGGCTGGCGTGTAAGTACGTTTAACCTCTAGTGCTTAACTTGCAGGATATTAGGGGAGATGGTTTTTGGCGTTGATACGCGTTTTGGCTCTCCCACATGGGACGGATGGTGGGTGGGTGATGGGGGTTGAGAGGATCCTGGATAGAGGTGTTTTTACTTCTCTATACAGACTTTGTAGTGAATGCCGATGGGACCGTACTTGTCTCGCATTCTATCCTATCCTTGAATACTTTTGTTGCCCGCGACGTGATCGATGGCTTGATTCGTGGGTGCACGTGAGAATAGCTACGTAAGGGAAGGCAATAAAAATAATAAATTAGTACGACCTAGCAATCCCAAGGACTATCAACTCGACCGCAGCAAAGGCGTTTCCTCGCCGGCGGGTTCGTCATGGCCAGTCACCTGACGGTCCTGTCCCTCCTCCCCTTGCAGGCTCCCCTCCCGACCACGCTGGCGGACCAGGGCGGCATCCTCGTCAAAACCGGCGCGGATGGCCTTCTCCCGCAAGATCCAACCGATGCACAGGCCAGCGCCGGGGCCCAGGACGACGGACGAGGCAACGACGTAGAGGAACAGCTTCCAGCCGGTCTCGACGAAGAGCCAGTACAGGGAGGTGATGAGCATGAAGGCGGCGTCGAGCTGGAGGAAGTCGACGACGGCGCGGGTCATCTGCTTGCGGTCGTCGCGGCGGGTGAGGGACCAGATCCAGAAGACGTGGGCGAGGAGGGAGAGGAGGACGGGCAAGGCGTAGACGAGGGCGAGGCCTAGGCGGTTCGCCTCGAGGTCGAGGGCGCGAGGGCGGGTGGAGGGCCGGGAGGAGGATGATGGTTCGCCTGTCGCGTCGGCACGGGTTCGGCGGCGGCGGCGGCGGCGGAGGGAGATGATGGCGGCGACGATGCCCCGGACGGCGCGGCGGACGACGGACACGATGACGGGGAAGAGGAGCCAGAGGCCGATGGTGGCGGGGGTGTGGTAGATGAACATGATGATGGCGGGGAGGACGAAGCCGAGCTCGACGGCGATGGGGATGGCCAGGGCGTCCGAGTCGGTTTCCAGGCGTCTGCGGCGGATGGCTTCGCGGGTCAGGGTGGTGGGGGTGGCAGCGTCTTCGGCGGAGGCTGCTGCTTCTCTTGCTTCTGCTCTTGCTTCTGCTCTTGCGTCTGCTCCCTCGCCACCTTCCTCGCGATGCTCCGCCGGGGGCGTGACGAGAGCCTTCTGGGCGTTGCGGTGACGAGACACCTCGCGGCCGGTCTGGAGCAGGAAGGATCCCACGATGAGAAGCTGCCAGACGATGGCGCCGCCGACGAGTTCCAGGACCAACCAGAGGAGAAGGACGCGGCGGAGGAGCCAGTTGGGGCGGGAGGCGACGCGGGCGGCCTCGACCAGGGAGACGGTGAGCATGGCGGCGAGGTAGGCGAGGATGACGGCCAGGGTGGCGCGGGAGCGGACGGCGGCGAGGGCCTCGTGGAAGAAGGAGAGGATGAAGCAGAGGGGGGCGCCGAGGGCGGGGATCCAGGAGACGGAGGGGAGGCGGGCGCGGGCGTGGCATTGGGAGTAGAGCATGGGGATCTCGACGCCGGGGAGGATGGTGAGGGCGACCAGGGTGAGGAGGGAGAGGAGAGGTAGGGGGACGAGGAGGGGATGGATGGAGATGGTGTGGATGGGGGGGCGCCGGAGGGCGCGTGGTATGCTGAACCTGAACGGCATTGTGTGGAGTTGTTCTTTTTCTTGTTTTTTGCCTTCTGCTTTGGGGAGGGTAAAGATGATTCTCCGGCGAATTAGTCTCGTTCTCGGTGTCGGTGGTGATAGTTTCGTGGTGGTTTAGGATGGAGGAGGAAGGAGGACAGAGAGACAGTGAAAGATTCAAGGTTACCTTAGGTAGGATGAGGTCATGTGAGGTTTAGTTTCACAGTACGTACTCAGAAGTACCAAGTATCCATACCTTATGGTAAGGTACCTTAATTAAGGTAGCTCTGTAATAGCCGCACGTGCCGAACCGAACGGTGAGACATTTGATGTGTATTATTATCCTCGCAGCTCCAGACTTTGGTTGTGTCAAGTATTCACCAGAGACAAGTCGACATGTTCCCTGGATATCCTAAACCAGCACGATATTCTAGGTACCTTTATTATTATTATTAATCTTACTCCGCTATCCTGACTAATCTACAGGAGCCTTCCTAAGCTATACGGTCTTTCTCGGGTAGCTATAGAGGGGAAAACCCGGGTAAAACCCGGGGAAAACCTCTATACACTTCCTTAGGTGGAGAGGTGCCGCTACGGGGCCGATATAGCCCCGGTTCTTCCCCGTTATATATCTAGATCTTACCTTTAGGCTAATAGCTAACGGAAAGTGAAGTAGGCTAGTAGTTAGGTAAGTTAGCCTAAGCTAATCTTTATCGGTGGAGCGGGGGCTAAGGGGGCGCTACCGTACTACCGCTATACGGTGGCTATAGCTCTTTAGCCTTAGTCTCCCTGCGTCCCTCGAGGATTATGCCTTTTATTCCTTCTATTCGGTTAATAAAAAGAGTAAGGGGGTAGGCGCCTCCTACCTCCCCTAGGTGGGTTCCTGCTATATCCGGCGGTAGGTAGGGGGAATAAGGCTCTACCCTATTATAAGAATTAGATCGTTAATATCCCCCGAGGCCTTTATACCTTAATCCTCCCTCTTTTTCCTATAACGCTAATAATTTCGTTATAGGTTTCCTCCCGATTTATTCCCGCTTACAGTCCTATAGGTTTATCGTTACGGCTTATACTAACTAGTAAACCCCTCTAGGATTCTTATTATTTTCCTATCATAGTTTTTTACTATAAGTATTTCGCGGGTAGCGTCGCGGTAGCGTAGTAGCGTGGAGTTAACTAAGTAGTATAGTATCAATCTATATATATATATAAGTAATTAATAGTAGTAGCTTAATATAAGTTCTCTTTATAGCGTAGTAGTCCCTCTATAGTAGCGTGCTAATAGTCGTAGATATCTTCTCCTAATAATAACGCTAATACTAATAATAATCGTAACCGTTATAAAAAGGGTTCGATTCAGGTTATACCGTATATAAACCCTAGTAGTATTAGGGCGGTGCCGTAGTGGCTAACTTAGGGTAATTATATATATTATAGTAAGCGCTTAGGTATATACCTAAACGACGTGGAGGCCTACTCTAATACTATAGGAATTAGTGTAGCCTGTTTTTAATATACTAATAGTCGGCGTCTATATAAGAATATAAGTTATACTAGTGCCGCTATAGTGCTATAGGTATACCTTAGTGGTATATCCTAATCGTCTTAATAGGTCCTTTCCGCTACTAAAAAGTAGTAGTAGCGTCTTATAGATTACTATAATACGTATATAGCGGTAAAGGCTGCTAGTAATAACGGTATCGCTACTATAAGTATGCCCCTTTAGTACCGTGGTGGTCCCCTTACTAATAAGCTTTTTAGGCCTAGGAGCGCCTAAAGACAGCGTCCCGGTCTTTTAGCCGGGCCCTAAACCGGGTATTACCTTCCGGTTATAGCCGCGGCGGCACCGCGTCGGCGGAGATATAGGAGTTATCTCGCTAGATAAGGCGTTTAGAGGGTAAGATAGACCTGATTTTAGAATACTTTATAAGTGGCCTCCTTTTAGCCCCGTTACGGCCCTTAGCGGCGGTAGTTAGCTAACTAGTCCTTATAGGGCCTTAAGTATATTAAGAGTGGTATTAGCGTTACTAAGGGCGACGAAGACGATAATAATTAGTAGCGCCCTATTAGTGCCATGCTAATACCGCCGGGGTCCCGGCTTATAAGACCCCTATTAATAATCCGCTAGCTCGCTATACTATTCTATCCCTACTCCGGTCTCGCTTCGGTATTATCTCTATTTTCGTAGGCCTCCGTAACTTTAAGGGTAAGGCGAAAGTCCTTAAGCCTCTTCCGTTATAGGAACCACTTAGCCATTATCCCGGCTTTAGTATTATAGTCTAATACGTTATATAAATCCCCTTTAATCGTGAGTAGTCTCCCTACGGTACCGAAAAGCTCTTTACGCTTTTCCTTAGTTATATCCTAATACTAGAGTACTACATACTCCGCTATTTCTGCCCCCCCGTTATTATAGGGGCACTATAACGGCTTGTCAAAAGTTGTTTACGTATTAAGGCCGAAAATATAGATTATTCGAACTAAGGGAGGAAAGGAGGGAAGGAAAAGTCTACGCGGTGTGTAGGCGGCTAAGTACGTATAGGATCGCACGGGCCTCGCTAGGAGGTCCGTGCTTTTTGGTCCTGGCCGCTGCCGGGGACTATTCCGCGGGCTATAGCCCGTAATATACCCCCCCCCGGGCCGGAGACAGCGATATTGTGGTTATGTTATCGTGACCTTATATTACCCTGGCTCCTTAGCGTATAATCTAAAAATAGCCTCCTTTATTCGATTCTATTAAAGGCTCCTTCGAAAGGAGGTAATCCGTAGTAGCCGAGATCCTTTTAAGGCTAAAATAGCATAAAGGAGGTCTTATATAGCAGTGCTATCGCGGTCTCCTCGCCGGTATACATGCTCGTTATAAACGATATACCTGCCGAATATATAACCGGGGGTTATTCCTTCTACCTAAATAGTATAGGAAGGGGAGTAAAATAAACCTCCTACTATTCCTCATTTTTTACTGTTTTCTTCCCTTTCCATAGCTTCCTTTTAACTAATATTTTTTTAATTAGATTTTCTATACTGTAAGTAGCCCCGAGATACTTCGTAGGTCCTATAGTAGTATAACTAATATCGCCGAGTAATAGCTTATTACTTAGGCCGCCTGTATTCTCCTTATAATAAGTTAGCACGCCCCTCGCTCTTAGTTCCGTGCCGTAACTAACCGTTAGTAGATATCCGACTACGTCTTACCTAATAAGCGCCCTTATAAGGGTAATAACGATACCGATATAAGTTCCGCCCTTATTGCTATTAATTATAAGGTCGGCCGTTACTAATACTAAGTAGACTCTAACCCCCCTCCCCCCTAAAGAAGCGCCGCGCGCCTAAGAACCCCCCCGGACCCTGCCGCCTCGCCCCTTACGCTTAGTACGCTACCCGGTGGTATAAATAAGAGTATACCGTTAAGTATTATTATTAGTCGGGCCCTGGCGCTGCTTACGCCGATACTAAATATTACGAGTACTTATGCCGTACTTATAAATATTCTAAGGTAAGTATACCGGTTATATATAGAGTAACCGTGACTAATAAGTGATATAGCTCCTATCCGCCGCCTATAACGCCGCTAATACTCTATAGGATACCGCTTATACTATAAATAAGGATACCAATAACGAGGATATAAGTTTATACCTACTCTTCGCTTAGGGGCCTTATACTAACTCTCCTATATAGAATCGCCGCTAGTTCTAAGATACCTATAGTAGTTTTTAAGTCGCCCTTAGCTTAGCTAAGTCGGGTAAGAATATCGTTAATCCGTCATAGTCCCCTACTCCTGCTATTACCGCCCCCTTTATTACCGCTCCCGCTACCGTTATTACTCCCGCTCCCGCCGCCGCGCCGCTTACCGCCGTCGCCCCGCCGCCCGCCGCCCTGTCCGCCACTACTAAGTTCTAGGTAAGTGTGGTACGAGCCCTTAACGATATCGCTACTTCTATACGTAGTATAGATAAGACGCTTAAGGACGTGTCGTAAAAACTAAAGGATATGAATAATAATATTACTATAATATTGTAAAAGGTTCGTAACCTCTTTTACTCTATCCGCCGAGTATATAAGCACTACGTGGCCGTGACTCCCTTCGCCGCTAATAATAATCCGGGGGCTACTCCCGAGGTTACGCTCGCCTCGGCTCCTCCTTAAGAGGAGTTATAGGTGGGTACCGCTAAGGACGGCGTAGCCTTATAAGAGGAGGAGTTAAAGGAGGGTAAGATCGTGGAGGAGTAGGCTATTTATATTATTTAGGTTATTTTAGTAGTTTTTAGGATTTTACTTAGTTCTTTACTTATAAGTTAAGTAGTACGGGGATACGCCCTTAATACGACTTCGCTCTCGGTTTTTATCCTCCTCGCCGCTATATCGGCCTTCTTTCACGCCCGTGTCTCCTTTATATACTATTATAAGGGCCTATTATTCGACTATACTAGGCCATGCTTCTTCTCGAATTTATTAAGCACTTATATCTCCCGTATACTTTTAAGCGGTTTCTATATTAGTTCTATATAGCCTTTCTATCGCACTAATACCTCGCGAACCTTACTATAACCTCGCCTTCGGGTACGGGCGTAAAGGACTTTCTTTACTACCTACTCTTTCTCCTTATTTAGCCCTTCACGGATTAGTAATAGCTAGGGGTCTATTATCGTTTACCCCGGTAAGGGGTCGTGGTCGGCTCGCCGTAGGAAATCCATATAGAAATAGTTATAGATCTATAAGAGGACGTTTAGTTCTACGATATAGGGGTTAATAACCTTTATAACTTTATACTTATAGTAAAGCTAGGTAAGTTTTTTTAAGGGCCGTGGCGAGGAGTAGTTACCGATATCTAACTATACGAGGTCCCCCTTTTCGAACCTCTTAGTAAAGTAGCGCCGACGGTTTACTAACTCCTCTTAGCGTAGTTATATAGCAGCTATCGCGGCTTAGGCGAACTAGGTGGCTTCTTTAAGGCGACTTAATAAGTCCTGCGTGGAAGCCTCGCGCTTATCGGTCGGCGTGGTCTTATTAACTTAGAGGGGGTTTATATAGTACCCGTGTTATAGAAAGAACGGGCTTATTTAGATTATCGAGTTTACCCGGTTATTTAAGGCTAGCTACGCTACCGGTAATAGCGTATTCTAATTATCTTAGGCATAATAGGTATACGCTTATAAGTAGGCTTAGATTTCCTAGTTAATACGTTTAGGGCCTCTGTCCGTCTAAGGGTACTATACGGTGCTTAGTCGTTATTTAATACCTATAAGTTTATAAAAGTATTATTA